ATATATTGAAGAAGTCTTAAGAGCCAGAAAAGCTAAAAGTCTTAAGTAAGCTATAGAAAAATTAGAAAGATAGTAGCTTTCTAATCTAAAGGACAGAAAAACCTGAACAAAAAATAAAACCAAGGCCTCTTGTACTTCAGAGGGGGAGAAAGAAAACTCTCCATAATTTCATGATGGAACATGTGGATGGAACAAGATAGATACCTGATGATTTTGCAGAAACTCTTGGAAAAGTTTCTGCTGGAAGCTACAAAAAATCCTGGGGCAGATAACCATGCAAGAGGTATCTTCTCCATTGCTGGTGTTTCTCAGGGGTTTGTTAGACAAGAACCAGCCAGGAACAGTTTTGGTAAAGCATTTCCTTGTCGAGAAAACACACTTTGGTGCTTCCCGGCCCCATTCCCTTCCAGCCTACATGCACAGCATGAAAGCACTGATTTATGCTTCTTAGCAGAGCTTTGGAAACATGTCTCCCTCAGCTTCCACCTTGAGGACATCTAACAATTAATTCTAGGTCACAGTCTAGTTTGGAAGGAGCTTTAACACAGGTGGAACATTACAAAGATTCAGAAAGGAAGATGGGAAAAAAAATCCACACTACAAAAATTCTTACTGGTCTAACCTATTGCTGACTTTCTCACATCCATGTTTCAGATCTCTTATAAGGAATGGTGTCTACAGAGCTTAGACCCTTAGCTTTTTCCAGTGGACAAATAATGCATCTACTTGATCAAACTTGATTCTGGGACTCTCTAAGATGAGCTTCTGGAGCTGGAGCTAGAACCCTGAGTACTTCAGTAGGCGCTTTTAACTGATTTAGGCTAGACTAAGTAGTGCATAGATGTTTTTTGTAGCTACTCACAGTGTGAAAGCAATGTTCTCACTCTCATCTAGAGTGCCATACAGAGAGATCAGGAATGGCTGGTCTACCTTGGTCACACTGGTCTTTCCGAAGAAATGTATCTTGACCTGATAATGGAAGACTGGAAAAACACAAAAGAAGAGGTCATTATGAAAAAAAAAACAAACCTCTCAAGCTCTGAAAAGACTGCAAGTGACAAATACACAAAAAGCCCTGCACACATCCTATGATAGTATACATAAGTATCATTAAACCAAGCTCTGTGGGCATTTAGGACAGTGCACAATATTTGCAACCCTTTATATGAAGCAAAAGAGCTATGTACTCCTAATACAGGAGTTTTGGTGCAGAGAATTCAGCCTTCTGACACCACAGATTAAGACTTAAAGGCCAACAAAACACTGTTGTTGCAGTTATTCCAAAACAGCGTTCTGAAACATATTCTAAACCAGAATGTCCTTGTGATTGCTGCTTCATCACACAATGCACACAGCAATAAACACACCACATAGCACAGTCAAAGCTACAGAGAAAATCAGTTAAAAAAAAAAAAAAAAAAAAAAAAAAAGGTCCAACTTGCAGTTATTTTGCTAGCTGAAAGCCATCCAGTTCTTTCTACAATGTCCATTGTAGGCCTACCACAGTGGCAATGGAAGACAAGAACTGCTGTGAGTTTTTAACATGGGAGTGGTGCTCCTCTGGCAAAAACAGTATGAGAATCTGACAAGTCTGGTGGCTGCACATCTTTAAATCATTACTCATCAGGCTAAACTCTTCTGATTATTTTCCCAGCAGCAGGAAAAATTCAACTGGATGAAAATAATGAAAAAAATTGAGATTCAGTTGTTCCAAATTGAGTCACTGTCTGGAGTGCAGAGTAAATATTGCTTTCATTCTGTCACTTAGAAGTTTCTTCCAGAAAACCCTTCATGTTGTATTGTAACTCCACCACCACATCTTGAATAAGATGACATTATTTTCTAATTCTGAACTTTAGCTTGCAGGTAAGCTAAATGCAGTCAAGCTTGACTCCTGCTCACTGTAGGCATCAATGCAGCAACTCTACCCAGTTGCAGCATGGTTCAGTGTGCACAGTGATTATGGACTTCATTATCTTAGGGATCTTTACCAATCTTAACGACTGTATGTGCCCACCCTGGTTCACAGCTGAACAAAAGCAGCACAATGCTTACCAGTAAGCTGCAGAACCTACCTTTGTAGGGCATCTGAGCGCGGGTCTTCAAGTACATTTTGGTGTTTCTCTTTGTTCTCACTCTGTTGACCTTATAACCCAAGTTGTTGCAACGGTTCTTCCGGCAGCTTAGGCAGAGGCCCTTCTCAAAGGCTTCTTTCGTGTTGCAGCGATAGGCCATGCTGGGCTTCTCTTCATAGAGGAGCGAGTCAATAAAGAGATGGATGGATCGCTCATGAGAGCACTTCACCAGCTGATCCACATCTTCAAAGAAAAAAATATATATATAGAATATGTATGCACACAAAAAACCGTAAGCAGTGACATAAACAAGCAAGAAACACTAGCTGGGCTTTATACCAAGAGTTTAGAAAGCACTTAAAGGAGCAAACCTCAGTCATCCAAAGCAGAGATACGGATACAGATCTCCCTTGAGATGTTGTATTGTTTGTTTCAGAGCAGCCTCACCTGAAAAGCCTTTTTCAGCAATCAGGCGGAGAGCTTCTCCCAAGTTGCAGCCTGGCTGGAAACCTCCACCATTAGGGTAGATATCGATGTGTCCAACAGGTTTCTGAATCCCAATGCTGCGATCTGGAGAGCCTCGAGTGTACGTGTGCAGAACATCCACAAAGTCAGCATCGTCCGGGGAGAGGCGGATAGGGGCGTCAGCATACTCAAAGGTGGGACCAGCAGGATCCAGACCTTTATTGCAAACCACAAAGAATAACTGAGATGATCATCTGTCAAAACACTGGCAATGACAGAAAATGCCAAACTTAGGTACCACATCGCTCTGGACTACTCATATGGCATCACTGAAGACATTACAGTGCAGTCATTTAAGTAACACCATGTAGGCAGGAGAACTAAATACACTGCCTCTACATGCTGTCACTATTTCAAACATAAGGTATATGTAAACACATATAAAGAAGCACAGATAACTTCTCCACAGCTGTAGTGTTTCCAGTGGACAGAGAAATGCTAGTAAATATTCTCCTTGGTGCTTCCCCCTCTTGTCAAGAAACAAAGAAACTGTTAATTTCTATTTGAAGCATATGAAGAACGGAAAGCATCTTGCTGCTCTCTACTAGGGAAACTGGGAAATGTAAATGAGAGCCTCACTGTCCGCACACCTAAGGGGAGTGACACATAATAGTGTCGGTAATGCTGCAGCTTGACAAAGAAAAGAAAAAAACAACCAGATCCACTCTGCCAGCGAGCAAGAACTCCCATTCAAAAGGCACGCACAAACGGGTTTTGTTACAGTGCCATCTCTTGCATCCACACAAACTACTTAAGAGATGGCTGATATATGTCTTGTGGGGACAGCTCTATTTCCTGCACCCAGCTCTGCCCACCCAAATCAGCTGAACATACTGTGAGCTGCCTCCCACTGCTGTGAAAGCTTCAGACTACATTCCATCATTTCCTCTGCTTAATGGCAATGCCGTTTCCCAGGAAAAAGTCCATCCTGGACACCAAAGGACAACTGTGAGGGCCACTGGTGTTTGAGTGATTTGGCAACCTCAGTGAAACAAACAAAAAAAAAAAAAAAAACAGGAGGCTGAGAGGAAGGAAGGGTAGAGGAAAAAATGCTCTGGCCACCTGATGTAATCCGCTGCTTCTCAGGAATCAGTCCTTCCTCAAGCTACTGCTATATAGGCCACCCTGCAGCATCCCCATGGATCTGAGATGACAGTGGATCTTGCTGAAAAGGCCCTTGATGCTAGGAAGAAGGGAGCTGGGCTCTGCCCTGAATGTAGCCCTGAAGCTACCTTGGAAACGAAGAAACCAGACAAGTGATTTTCATAGGCCCATTTGCTGACATTGGCACTTCCTTTCTCACTGAGATAAGTGCTGAGGCAACAAAGAGCTCAAGGCACCGGGCTGTAAACCAGTCATGCCACAGCACACTACCTTATCTAGTATACAATTCAGCCTCCAAAATTATGAAAATGACTCAAACTAGACATCTAAGTAATGCATGTGAGCAGATCAAGCATAAGTGTACTTCCTTACCATTCCAAAAACTCTTCCCAATATTATTTTTCGAGATTATTTGAGCTGTCTTTTACAACTTATTTTTCAGTAACCCACACCAGATTTCTTCAGAACATTTATCCAGTTCCCTTTTGAACTTACACAGACCTCTTGCATGTATAACTTCCCTCAACAATGAGCTCTGCAGGTACTACAACCACTGCAGGCGGATTGACCTCCTGCTCTTCCTGAGCAGGATCCCAGCATCTGCAAGGGATGACCACCTGGATGAAGACAACTACCTGAAGTTCTGCAGCTGCAAAAGAGATCTTCCTCACAATCTCATTCCCCCAAGCTAGTTTCTTCATGGCTGATAAATCCACCCACTTACTCATTTCTTGCACATAAGCACAGCAAGGCTTCTCACTCACTCCTACCCTGTGTTGATCTTTTATGAACCTTTTCCACCTTCTACAAAAATATCAGATTCTGATTCAATGTGGAATGAATGATTCAATGTGGAATGAACCCATAACCTAAGTACACCCAACAAGCAACAATTATTCTGGTAATATTTCAGTACAAAGAGAGGACTTTCCACTCTATGACCACAGGCTTTCTTACCAGTAATTCTGTTCACCTTCTTCTTGGTTAGACTCCCAGCAATCCCAGCAGCATGAGCACCCAGACTGTATCCCAGTAAGTGGACATTGTTGAGAGGGTAATTGAACTTCTCCTGCAGAGGAGAGCTTCATTTAAAGTTTGATATCAAACAGGACAGCATCGGATAAAAAAGGAAAATATTTTATACAAACCGCGATTTCTCTTTGGGCCACAAATAACAACAACAAAAAAAGCCACTAAATACAGTTGACATAACCTTGCTCTATATAAGCTTGCTTGAGCTTACTGTCTTAAGGCAAAAAAAAAAAAAAAAAACTTATATAGAGAAAAATGCAGAATTAAGGACAGAACATCTAAGGCTCTGTAAAACAGACAGTGTTTTCAGCCATCCTTTCCTCCCAGCTTTTGGGTCACCTAAATACTTCCCAAAGGCAAGTCACACTTCTAACAGTTTGCCAAGTGGTGGCTGCTGTATAATATGTAGGAACCTGTCTTTCATAGCTACCTCTCACAGAGCCTTCAGAAATTTTCTGTGGATCCACAGGACTCCACAGACCACAAGGTGAATAAATCTCTGGGCTGTTGTATAAAAGGCCTCCTTGTCAAAGGGACAGTCTTTAGATTAAAGCTGGGATTTTACCAGCCCAGCTGAACACACGGTCTGCCACAGCTTAACTCAGTCTATGCAAAAGACAACAATTAACTCTTTATGTCTGCTGCATCAGTGGCATGAAGATAAAACTGTTGCATTGTTGTTGTCCCCTGGAAAGATTACATGTGAGACACACATGACTACGTGTCTTACCTCCATCCAGTCAATAAACATAGCAACATCCTTTCCCACCAGCTTCGTGTAAGCAGCAGACACTGGGTAGTGCTGCTGAGCTCGAACCAGCCAGTCCACAACTATAACATTTGAATCAGGTTCCCTCTTGTACAGAGCATCCACCAGCTTTGGGACCCAGCTTTCATACATTCCTGTCACCTGTTATGTTGTGATGATTTAAAAGACAATAAAGGGAGACCTTGATAGTACGCATGGCACATAGACACCAAAGGATCTAACAGAGAATCAGGGGTGCAACGAAAAGGGACGTGCCACCCTTTCCTTCTTACCGTCCACCCATGGATCACCACAAAGGTTTTACTGGTATGGTTGAAGTTGCACTGTGCCAAGCTGTCCATCTGCCCAGGAACCAGGTAGCAGACATCCTCATCAGGCTCTGCAGGTGTTCTTAAGGAAAACTTGCTCTCAATCCCCTCAAAATTCATCTCAGCTTCTGCTGGACAAGATCATAATAAACACAGAGCACTGGTTTAGAAGTAGTAGGACAAACAGAAGTCACAGTTTATGAAGCTGGAGAGAGATTAGGAACAGACAAGAAATGGAACATGCTGTTTTCATTTCCCTCAGCAGCCACGTAAAAGGGAAACCAAAGGGTGAAAAATCACTCATTCTCCAAAACCACTGCTAATGCAGTGAGAATCTGCCCAGCTGCCCATTAGCTGCATAAATTCCTTTTAGGAGTCACAGTACTGCAGGAGAGCAGCAAGTTTCTCACCATACTATCATATATTTTGACAGCACATCTTCTAACTTCATCACAAATATCACTTCTTTGCCATGGCTTCTTTTAGGACATAGTAGTCACAGCTCACTAAAAATAAAAGCTGCAAAGTCCAAATCTTATAAAACACAGCTATTTTACCAACAAAGGGTTAATAGTAGGTATCAGATGTGCTAAGAAAACTAAATCAAGAATGCACAAGCCTGCATTTTGGAGGCAGTTTTTTTTTTTATATATTAAAAAAAAAGTCATCTCATGAACAACACTTGAGGGGGGAAAAAAAAAAAAAGTCTTCCTTTGCCTGGAACTATTTTGAATCCATTTGGAGGGAGAAAAAAAAATAAAAATCATGTACTGGCAGTAAGAAAACATGCGGTGGTCTCAAAGGATCACATCTCAGAACTTCCTCCAACTTCCAGACCCAAAAAATAAAAAAAAGTTATCGTTTTGTTCCTGTCAAGGAAGAAAAGTGACCCTAAGCTTCCTGCTCGCTTCTTCCTCCGTCTGAGAGGAAAGGTAAATGAATCCTCCTTTTAGGTCTGATTCAACATTTACACACCTCTATAGCCAGCTGACCCTGTCATTAACTGTGGGCTTAAAACCCAGTGCTTTCCTGAAGCCAGGCCAAACTCTGGCAACTTGCTTTTAGCAAATATTGATGGCCTGTTTTCCAAGTGCAGCTGAACTCTGGCCAGCTCCATCCTTCTCAGTGCTGTTTCCTGGCATCGTGACCACAAAGCTCTCACAAACTCCTACACACACACACACAAATGGTTCCAAGTCACCAGGAAACGTCCAGTAGCACGGTGAGGACCCCAGGCTAGGCATGCCAAAGCTCTTCTTCTGCACACTGAAGAAAAAGTTCTTCCTAAATCTGGTGCATCTCTCTGTCTCCATAAAATTGTGCTTCAACGTGCAGAAAAACTGATCATTGTTTCTAAAATTTGTTTTCTGGTCTTCTCATTGAAGGGCATGCAGATTCCTGCCTGACCTCACTCAGCCCTTGGTAGTTGTACAAAGTCTGTGAGGATCCTGCTGTCCTTGGAAGGCCACAGAAGTCAAGGTCTAAGCAAGCCCTGCAGCAAGAGGTGGATGAGACAGCATACTGGCTGGCAGCAAATGATTCAAGCCTTGGAGAGACTGCAGTCACCTAAAACCAATTGCTTAATGCTGCCTGCATTCCTGCACACTTGATGAAAGCAAAGCGCGCACAAAGAAGCTAGCAGGAGATGCTCGCTGAACAGAGGCAGAGCTCAGCTTTACTTTTGACCTTGGCTGTGCTAGGCTGGCCAGCTAATCCCACATAATTACACTGTCGGCCCCCTTCCTCCTAAAGAAAGGATGTGGCTCAGGAGAAACATTTTACTCCCAGTATGCAGAATGATTCATATAGTGTTGAAGATCAGACTTTGCCCATAGAGAACAAGCAATCTACCAATTCAAGTGCTGGTTTTCTCAGCAGTTGTCCACTTCTAGTTGTTTCCACTGACTCAAAATTCATTTTCTTACAACAAAGAGATCATAAATAAAAAAAAGATGTGAAAACCGATTGGTTAAGTATCAGCTAGAATTTTTCACTCAGCAGCAAAACAGTAAAACCCTGAAAGACCAGGAACAGCTTCCAAATCTAAGGCAACGAGGCAAGGACTTTCAATTATGTGTCTTCCTGTTCCACACAGGAAGGCAAACAATAATAGTCCACCTGCTCTCTAGTTAATAGTGCTTCCCTTCATATTTGGAAATCATTTCCTTTCTGAATTAAACATATCTGATAATCAACAAAAACCCAAATTAAATCCAAATCCCATTGTGTAGTGTGTTCTCAATTACAAACATATGCCAGAATCTGCACTTAGGTTCAGAATGCATCTTTTCTAGAAATAAGCTTCTGTGAAAACAAATTTGCAACACAACATGTACCTCACCTCACTATGCTGTGGGAGGATTTAGAAAGTCAGAAATTACTGCAACATCCATTCTGCTCAGAAGAAATATAATGGCGTGCAGCATTCACACGTGTTCAAATCCAGGCAGCAAGATACCATCTGGATGAGGCAAGTGCATGTTGTTGAGTTTGTTACTGACTTCTCAATGACACTAATCAGAAGCCATCCTCAAGAGCTGCCCAAGTTTGGCACTGAAAATTCTGTTTGGGTGTCAGAACAAGATCACTTTGTTCCTCATTCTGTGTTGCAGCACTGCCTCATTTCCCACCTGCGGTGTATTAAATTTTAGAAATACAGTACAGAGGCATGTACATAATAACAGATGCATACTTACAGTGCATTCTGCCCTCAATAAAGACTGAAATAATTTAAAATCATGGCTACAAAGCAGATTACTCTGGAAAGCAAGCATTTGCTATTTCAATTTTTGTACTTCAAAGTACAACTCACTCATATTAAAAGACTAAGAACCAAACTGTCATATATGGACTTTTGTTACTGACCTTGCTTTAAATCAACAAGAAAAAGAAGTCTCTTTAATCACATGCTATCTGAGTTGGTCAAACATTGTGACAGTGGGTCTTATACAAAGGGCAGTCTTATATAAAGCCAAAGAATTGCAGACAGACAACACACACATACCACAGTTTTGTTAATGATGTGTTTCAACTTGAGTTAGTTAAACCAAGGAACATCTGAAATGCAGAGACTTCCACATTTTTCTAACAAGTGAACAGGAATTTAATGGAATTTGCATCAAAGTTTTACATAATGTAGATGGTAGAAGTTAAATGAAGAAATCTATGACTATTCTTACTGAGATATTGAAGTCATTTTTGGGATGAGACTGCAACTCTATTTCTAGATGAGGCATCGATGAGGAACAGAGCTGGAGGTTAAAATTAGTAGATGAAACAAATCTATGCTTTTGCTAGAAATCACACTTTCTCAGGCTCAGTTCTGCAGGGGTATAAAGGCAAGTGCTGTGTCGCAAGAACTTCCAGGTGCACAGTAACAAAAACAAGCCCCCATTACGAAATGAAGCTTTCAGGTCACCTTACTGACCATAAGCCCACAGCAGTGCCCAGGAAGGGTTTTCTACCTCTTTAGGGAAATGGAAAGGGAGCAAAATTAAGAATTAAGCCACCTGTTTAAGAGTGAAGCTGGCTTCACTTACAGCAATGCTGCCAAGCTCCATTTTAACCTACTCCAATACTTTTCTTAACTTTCCCTTACAAAAATCTGTTTTCATCTTGTAAAAAAGCTGCTGTTTACATCAAGGTATAAAGGATATTTTAGAACTCATAAGTGCAGAAAAACTAATAAATAATAAATAAAAAAATAATAAAAAGCTAGTAACCATAAGTTGGTAATCTCATTTTTCTGCTTAAACCTCATTTCACTGACTTGGCCTTGCAATTTGCAAATTCCGTTCAGCCCATGACTCCTGTCAACTCTGAAAGCATCCCAAAGTCTTAAACATTCTGACTCAATAAAAACACAAGTTTGCTCACTAATAAGAGATCCAAATTCAAATTTCCTTCATGAGAAGCCAACAACAGCCTGGCAATTGTTTTGAACAAAGGAAACCATCAATGATCTGACGGGTGAAGATAGTGAATTTTGAAGAAATGACGGCATCTGGAATACGAATCTAAAACTCAAACAGCCAGCATCAGGTGCAGGATGCCAAATACAGTTTTACATGTGCAAGAATCAGTGCAATTCCAATAACGGTTTACATGGGAATCTTTGGTAAACAATATCCTGGCATTATGTACACAGAAATTGGAGTACTATTAGCTAGGTGCAAAGATCATCAGAAGTTATACTGCTAGCCTGCGCAAACACAACTCCACACACACAAAGGCAAACATCTGCACATAACATTAAACATTTACATAACCTGTTGGAATTAAACAGAGTAACTCATCCTCCTGCTGATAACCAGCATTAGGACAAAACATCCACCAGTTACACTGAACTCCTAAGTGAGCTCTCAGGCAAACTGATGGTCAGCTGTAATTAAGAGGCTATACGACAGGAAGCATGATTGCTTCACCAGATCTGCACTATAAACTGCAAGCAAACTACCGCACTGTAATCTGTCAAAACCTTTCCTTTCAGTAAGGTTACAGTTTAACCTTACTGTGAAAGAAGTCTCAGCTTTCCAGACAGCAGAGTCCTGAGGTTAAGTTCTCCCCTCGCTTCCCAGAGGAAGGAGAACACTTCTGGACAACTCAGAGCAGGTGCCTCACATAGCCCAGCCCTGCAGCTTGGCAGGGTGAAGGCATGCTGCGGCTGCTGCACTGTGCACATGGGTGCTGCAACTCGCTGAGGAGCTCCCTACCAAATGTATGCTTACTCAGCTGCAGCTGGGAGGCTTGTAACTCAATCCAGCAGCAAAGATCCTGCCATCCATCAGCTCCTCTGGGATATCTGGAATTAGCCCAAGACAATAAAACACAATCACTGCCAGACTGTACAGTAATACGGAGGAAAGAATGCATGAGAAAGCCACAGCATGCAAGCGCTTCCTGCACAAAGAGTGAACTTCCTCAGGAGTTCAACCGCTCATGGTACGCCCACAGCACATGGTGATGCACAAGATCCTCAGCCCTAAGCCATCTCAGAAGGTCATCTACTCTGCAGAGGACACACCACAGCTGCCCTCAGCTCTTCCCCAAACATGGCCACAGTAAAAACCAACAGCTCACATCGCACAACAGCATTAAAAAATGTTGTAATCCCAGACTCCTGATTTAC